GTAATGAAGTCTTTTTATAAAACACAAGAATTCATAAAATACTTGCACAATGTTGGTGTTACCATTTTGTTCTAGGATTGTAATCACTAGGTGAGAGTCCCCAGTCCATCCATAACCAGCAGGAAGAGAACACAGGCCCTTCTGGCCACACTCGTTTTATCCACAGTTTTTGAGCCCCTTTATGTGCTAGAGAGAGGAAAGGCTCCAAAGTTCTCAGGCCAGCACTGAGGTCTCTACAGTTTGCCCATTTCTCTTGGCTTCATGGACACAGGGCAGATGGGTCATCTGGTACTGCCTGGTAGCCAGCAGGTGGCACTCAAAACTCAAAGTGGGCTAAAGCTGGTGGGGCGGGACCAAAATTTGCCAGTGATTTCTGAAGGTAAAGAACAAATAACCAAAAAGACATTGTCTTAATTCCTGCCGTTGCCTCCTTCCTCTCCGTCCTCTCCATCACTAGGTACAGAGAGTTACTCCATGTCAATATAACCAGGTCTTTGAGTCGGAATCTTGGAAGACAGATCTTTTTGAGCTGATGAAAATAGGTCATCTATTTAAGTGAGTTAGGCTGAGGCAAGCCTCGCTCCAGTGTCAGGATCATTGACCCTAGATCCCACCCCAAGTCTGCAGGGTGACAGAGAGGAGAGCTTCAGGGTGGCCTGCAGTGTCCAAGACCAGAGTCCTTATAGAGAGAGTGCTCTGGTACAGCCCCATTGAGCCCTCAATGCCTGTGCCCCTGTAGCCAGCACGCTCCTTCTCTCCATTCTCAGTGCTACCAGCTGCCCTGGGTGGGCAAGTGGGATAGAGGGTGGACTCTAGGGGTCTGGAGAAGAAGGGTAAGGAAGGGTGCAGCTGGGACCAGGACTTTTTGGAGGACAGAGCCAGCAGCTGGGTTATACAGGAACCCTAGAGTCCAGCTTAGAAAATTCCAGAAATGCCTTGCTTCCCTCCCTTTCTCTTATCTTCTGCCAGGAGTTTGGCAGGCCCTTTGCTTCCTAGGGAGCTGAGATAGAGGGGCCTTTCCCTGTGGTGCATGCTGCAACTTGCACATAGATGCCTGGAGGCCCAGGGCATAGGGCTAAGGGGGCTGGCTGGAAATCAGCCAAACTCACTCATGAAGAAAAAGACACTGTTTCTTTCCTTCTCTCACTCACTAAATATTTTCTGAATATCTATTTTATGTCTGGCCCTTGGCTAAGCCTTACATGTTGGCTTAGGAATGTGGAGGGAGAGATGGGGAAAAAAGCGAAAAAGATATGACCTCTGGAGTTCATAGTAGGAGAACTTGACATGGATGGGAAAAAGTCAACATCAGGTACTGACAAAGGTACGCTCAAGATGTGGAATACACAAGAGGTTTTGGTTACTTCTGTCTGTTAGGTCCAGGGAATGTTCCACTTGGAAGAGAACAACAACCTGGCTTTGTTCCCAGAGACACAGGGAACAGCAAGTACAGAGGCAAAGAAGCGAGAAACTATTTGTCTGGATGGGGTGATATAGGGCAAATAATTCAAGGATGATTAGGTGCCCTACTCAAGCAGTTCACCAGTCAGAGATGAGGCACAGTACACGCTCTGCCTCAGGGGAATTGCTTCTTAACTGAGAAGAAAGAGACTCAAGCCCAAGTAATGGTGGAAATTCAATCATCAAGAGTGTGCGTGCCTGAGTTGGCGGAGTGGCTCAGTTGGTTGAGTTGGCTTAAGAGCACGAGCTCTGAGCAACAGTGCCACCGGTTCAATTCCCACATGGGCCAGTGATGCTGCGCCCAAGCTGAGCTGTCGCTGAGCTGCCAACAGGTGGCAGGATGGCTCAGATAGTGGAACAACAAGATTGCCTGTTCAATGGTGGGCTATGCCCACCCACAACTAAGACTGAACTCGGCACCTTGAGCTGAGCTGCTGCCCGGATGGCTCAGTGGATAGAGCGTGCGCTCCTGACAACAAGGCTGCTGGTTCAGCTCCTACATGGGATGGCAGCTACGCCCACCCTCAACTAAGATTGAACACGGCACCTTGAGCTTAGAGGCCACAAGCTGCCAACGGGCAGCCAGATGGCGACTGGTGCCCTCCACAACGAAGGTTGAAGAACAACAGCTCAACAGCTTGGCTGGTCCAGTACCCCAATTCCCCAACACTGTTCCCCTCCCACAATTTCAAAAAAAAAAAAAGAGTGTGTGTGCCTCTGACTCAAAAGTGTGACCAGGATATATTGGATAGAGAAAACTTTGCCGTTTTTCTTGCCCTTATTATTCTCCCCAGATCATAAATGCCTTATTTAGCTCACTAATTAAGGATGAAACTGCCTCGAACCTATCATTGTGCACAGTGAAGTACAAGCCTTAAGAATTCCCGCATCTAGGAGGCGGTTAATGTGCAGGCTTATTTTTTTTCATGCCTCAGGCTTAACAGGATATTGTCTGATAGCTATTGGAGTCGCAGTGGGCTTGAGCCCAACCATTATAGGCCTTTGGTGGACTGCAAGCCCAGGAGGGTTGGTCTCTGCCCAGACTGAGGGATACTTGGCTTGGAAATCCCATAAAAGTTCCTTTCCCTGACTCCGGTCTGAGTCATCCCCAGGCTGGAGCAGGTATTCCTCTGAAATGGGGCAAGTGACTAAAACCTCTGTGGGGTCCCCAAGGTGGAGAGTGGCCGTTTCCTCGGAGAAGGAAATTCATGCCCCCAATTTCCGTAAGAGATCCCCGCCCAATAATGGATAGGGGCATTCAGGTATAACGAGAAATGACTGGGTGACCGTCTGGTCCCCCAGGTTGACAGTCCTCCATGTTGTCCAAGGATAGAGTTTATTAGGGGCTCCTGTGGCTCCCTGAACCGCCGTTCGGGTGGAAGCTAAGGGTCCAAGTGGCTGGGTTAAGACAGAATATGCAGCTCCCGTATCTAGAAAAAACTTTATAGATTGACCCCCGATTTGGGCTTTTACCATGGGCTCACGGGGGCTCAGAGAGATCGAGCCCTGACCCCTTCAATCAGAGTTATTATCTAATATTAGGATAGGCGATTTAAGACGATTTGGCCTCTTGGGGCATTTATCCTTCCAGTGGCCCAATTGTTTGCAATATGCGCATTGATCTTTTCCTGGGGGTTGACGCTGAGGGTCTTTACCAGCCTGCCCGGCTTGTAAGAGGGCGGGGCTTGTAAGAGGGCAGGGAGCGGCTAGGGCTGCGATAGTGGCCCTCCCTAGGCGTTTAGCAACGGCCTCTTCTGGGGAGTCACGGTTGTCATAGACCCTTTGAGCAATCCCCAAGAGCTCTGACCTATTCTTGCCCTGAAACCCCTTAAGTTTTTGAAGCTTTTTTCTGATATCTGGGGCCGACTGAGAGACAAAAGCTAAGTTAATAGCAGCTGTATTTTCTGGTGCCTCAGGGTCAATCGGAGTATAAGTCTGATAAGCTTGTAAGAGGCGTTCAAGTAAAGCCTCGGGGGACTCCTGTTTAGCTTGAATAACTTCACTGACCTTGGTCGAATTAGTGGGCTTTCTTGCTGCTGCCCGGAGTCCCCCCAGGAGAAACTGGTGATAGGTGTCGAGGGCTCCCCTACCTTGATCTGTCCCAGGGTCCCAGTCTGGTCTCTGGGTCGGAAGCAGGCGGCGGAGTCTGCCGGCACTGACAGGGTCGTGGGAGTCGACCCCGGTCCGAGGGCTACTTTGCAGGCCTCCTGGAGGATGCGATCACGCTCCTCTGAGGTGAACAGAGTTTAGAGCAACTGCTGACAGTCGTCCCAAGTGGGGAGATGAGTCCGAAAGATGGACTCCAAGAGGGAAATAAGTGCCTGCGGTTTCTCAGAGAAAGCAGGATTCTGATGTTTCCAATTATAGACATCAGTAGTGGTGAATGCGACATAAATTAAGCCGCCTCCCGGCTGCATCTGTCGGAGGTGGAGGAGATGAGAAGGGCTGGTGGAGTCAGCGGGGCGAGGGTCAGAGGAGGGAGAGTAAGAGGAACCACTCCGCGTATGGGGAGGGGAAAGGGGAGAGGTGGCAGAGTCAGGAAGTAAGTCTGCTGGCGAAGGAGGTAGGGCAGGGTACAGGGCAGGGTAAGATGGCAGCGGTCCTCGGGAGGCCCCTGTAGGACTACTGTAGGGGGAGTCTTGGGAGTAGATGAGGTTAATCGGGGACTGGTCGATCGAACAAGGAAAACAGAGAGTCGTTGGGGAGAACAAGAAGTTAGCCATTTAGGAGGATGTTCTAATAATTCTTTCCATACATCAATATATGGAAATTGGTTGGGGTGTCCGGGCTGGCCCAGAACAATATCCCATACCGCTCGGGTGATGTTAGAGTTAAAGGTTCCTGAGGATGGCCAATTAACATTGAAAGCAGGCCAGTCAATTTCACAGAGAGTTCGGAGGCAAGCCCGTGTAAAACGGACCCCATAATCGGCCTCCTTTTCCTTACTGCAGACATCTCGGAAATGTCCCAGAATACATTGAAGGGGCTAGCTGGTCGAGATTGAGACGCCCCCATTGAGAAAAGACTGGGAACAGGCAACCCAGTGACAGATGACAAAATTACCAACAAAACAGACAAAAAGACAGAAGTAACAAATACAAGAAAACAGAATCCCCTCCAAGTGCCAAACCAGGGCCAAAAGTCCCTGTGTTCTGGCCTCCTCTGAGGAGAACCAAACCAGGGGGAGATTCTCTGCCATCGCAGGAATTCCCCGGACTCAAGAGTGTCTGCCGCGTCCGGCCTCTTGGAGTCCTTCCAGGTCGTGACTACAGATCAGACAGAAACCATAGAGGTTCCTTACCTTCAAAGGGTTTCAGAATAAACTCTCCGGAACAACCGGGACGGCCAGATCATGCTTTACAGCCCTCCGCTACGTTGACTCACTCACCAGGGCCCTGAAAAATCCGGGGTGGCCACTCCTGGCGGGGAGCTGTTCACGGCCGGGGAGGTGATGCGCAGGCCGTCCCGTGTATCTCGCTGGGGCCTCCAAATGTTAAGTCCAGACAATTAATAAAGAGGCTGGATATCAAATTAGGGTTCTGAAGATTTTATTAAGCTGAGCTCAGCGACCGTCTCCCCAGCTAAAGGAAATATGGTACCCCAGACTCGGTGGTCTGGTTTTTATAAGGCAGGGCTATATGCAAAGTAAGTTACAGAAGCCAAAAAGAATGTGCAGTTATTCCAGTTAAAACCGCATCCCGCTATCACAACAGTGACGTTATATTGAGATGTCTTAACAGTATATCATGACTGGGTTGAGCTGACCACATAACCTGTCCCCTAAAGTTGAAAACTTCTTTGAAGTATAAAGATAGAGGCCATGGGAGTCAACTGTCCTTTTGATATGTTAAAATAAAAGAGAGGGGAGAGTTTATTGCTGTGAGGCCTTTTGGTATGTTAAGATAGAAGTGAGGGGAGGAAGGGGGAACTGAGGAATGTTTTTTCTTTAACCTTTTATTCCCCGGCAGAAGCAAAGCAGGTATACAGAAGCAAAAAGAGCTGTTAGTTTTTAGCGTCTAGCTGAAGTAGCTGAAGTATAATTTTTTAACGTGAATCTGTCCGGTCTAGGGTCCGGACCGGGGTCCCTTCAAAAGAAAAGAAAAGAAAGAAAAGAAAGAAAGAAAGAAAGAAAGAAAGAAAGAAAGAAAGAAAGAAAGAAAGAAAGAAAGAAAGAAAGAAAGAAAGAAAGAAAGAAATGGTTCCATAGTTGTTTCCTAAAGGTCAAGTCTAATTTCTTGACATGAAATATGTTCTTCATGAGACTTCCCCTTCCCACCACTTTCTTTCTAACCCCCTCCCACTGCCAGACTGCATTACTGAATGATTTCTGGTGTGAAGACTGTGCCATGCTCTCTTACCTCCTGTGGGTTCTCCTAAATCCCAGCATGAAACTCTACGCCCTCCTCCCAACTGTTTATTTCCTATTCTTCCTTCAAGAATCAGACAAGCATCACCCATATGTCTTCTGTCAAATTAAACAGAATCAGACTAAAGCAGCCATTTTGTTTATATTATAAAGGAAACAATTTTGGCTTATGTATACTGTTCTCTTCTGTCTTAAAATATCCCCAGGTGATCATATTAAAAAACTAAACTTCCAAGTTCATTTTTCCAAAATTTTAATCATACATAGAAGTTGGATTTCATTGGTTCCTCTGTTGTCACTCATTAAAATAACCATGAGATTTTTACTTTTTTTCCAGTTAATTATTTTAATTTGAAGCCTCCCAACTGGTGAACTGCAAATGGGTTATACATAGGGCTCTCTCAAGCTGAAGCCCCAAGGCCAGATACCTCCAGCTGGGAGCAGCTTCTTCAGTTTAACTAGTTTCCTTCCATTTATCATTTTCTAAGCAAACCACAAAGTGAAAATCTTGAGAACCGAAAATTCTTGGGAATTCTTGTGTAAATGGTTGGCTCTGTGTTGTATCTGGCTTCAAGACATGTGGTAAATCCCATCTAATAAAAAAAATGCTACATTGTTTTGCCAGCGTTTGATTTAGGGTCATTTTATCTAAGTTCCTTTCATTAGTCTAAAAATATCTGTTTGTTGTTAAACTTGGATTAGGTTTAACATTATTAAGAAAAAAGAAAAGAAAAAAACAACAACAGACAAACATGATAATATGTATTATTACCTAGTCATTCTTGAAACAGTTTATATAACAGAATGTGACTGTTATCTGCCCTATGGGAGATCCCAATGATGAGGGAGGAGGAGAATAGGAAGAGAGGGATGCATACAGTGAAACAAGGCCCATAGGTGGTGCATCTAGAGTAAGATCTGTTCATGTGGGCATACACAAGGAAAAGTAACTCTTTAGACAGGGTGGAGATAGAAAGGGAGGCGATTGGGGAGGGTAAGACTGAAAGCATTTAGGGACGGCGTTGTGGCTTGGGTGAAGAGAGGGCTGAAACAACCACAAGCTGGGGTCCCTCATATGGCGACACTGTTTTCCACCAGGCTGGGCCGCAGGTACTCATAGGGCATGTCCAGCTTTGCGTTCCGGGTCTCGATTTCCTTATCCAGATCAGCCAGCTCCTCCCTGAACTTCTTCAGCACAGCTTTGGGCTCAGGGCCTGAAAAATACTCCTCCTCATGCTGGCCCAAAGCCACCTGGGACAGAGAGAAAAAGCAACTGAGAGCCTTATGACCCCAATTTGGAGTGCCCACAGCTGCCCCCTTCCTCAGAAACCCAGGCACCTGCTCTCACCATAGTGGGCTGGCGTCTGCCCAGCTGCCAAGTTATGGACATCTGGAGAGAAGCCTGATGAAAATTGGGCAGTGTTGCCATCACTGTCTCCAGTGTCGCATCCTTGGTGGTCGGTGGGGGCAGCCGCATCGTGCAGGGTGTGTTAGGGACCCAAGCATACCAATCCAGCTAAGGAGAGGCAGATATCTAGAATCAATGTCTGCTAAGCATAAAAACCCCTTAGCCACCTGCACACAGCCCCCTCCGCCACTCCAGGTGCAAGTGCCCAGCTGCCCCCCCTACCATAAGTACCTGGCCCTGGTGGACAGAGGAGTGCTGGCCAGTGCAGGTGAAGATGCACATGGTGATAAAGTGGCAAACCTGGTCCCGGGACTGTAAGAAGGTGGGAAACCCTGCAAAGGTAAGCAGAGTTATAAGCTGTGAGGCCAGGAATAGAAGCAGAGCTCAGAGAGAGGAGGCTGAGCACCAAGGACAAGAAGGGGGAGAAGAGGTGTCCAGGACTCTCAGGAACTATTGTGGGAACTGACGTGAGTGTGGGTTGGGGTGGGAGAAATGGGGAGATCTGCTGAGAGGGCGCAACTCAGTAGCTTACTGGTATGGCTCATACTAGCTCACAAGAGTCAATTATGTTAAATGTTCAGGTATTTTAGCAAGCTGGTTGACATCACGTTGGTAGCCACAGTGGAAATATTTACACCATGGAAATGGGCAAATGCTACAAGTCACGGATATATTTCCCAGAGAGCCATTTGTTAAACATTTATGAGCAATCACTAGTCCTACTGCATCTAGGACCTAGAGGGGCTCTTAGTACATAGGATGCGGTCCTATCTCTAGCTGAGAGGAAAAAAAACCTGAGAAGGCATTAGGACATTTTCATAGGGGTTGGACATAGTTCCGGAAGGTTCCATAGACATAGAGAGGATTCTGGGGAGGTGCAAAGGAGGAATCTCTCAGGTTGGAAGTCTCAGGGAAGGGGCTTAACTTACCTAGCTCTTGGGCCCCTAGCAGCCCAACTTCAGTGATTTCTCGACACCAGGTCTGCAGCTCAAGATCCTCTTTCACTGCCTCGTCTGACTTATAGTGAAGATTCACAATTCCCTCCACATAGCTGCCAGCCAAGGAATTGGATCAAGAGAGCTGAAGCTGACAGGGAGCCTCCAGACCCTCTGCTCCTTGCCCACCCTGCCAGGTCAGGGTCCCCAGTCTCCCAACCAACACCTCCAGTTCTCCTAGCCTCCTCCTGCCTGGCCACCCTCAGCAACCCTGCCTTGCCATTGCCTCACCGAGAGATGACTTCCCAGAGCCGCAGAGCATCATGGGCATAAAAGGAAGACTTGACTCCCAAAAGCCCCCTGTCAGCTAGGTCATCAGGGGGACAGAGTGATCTATAGCTTAGGAAGTCTCTAGCTTTCTTGAGCAGCTCCACGTGGCCTCCTCCACCAGTGCTCACCACCTGAGGAGCAAGGATAGGTAGGATCAGGCAAATACACCTACCCTAGTCTCCAAGCAGAGGGGGCATGAACTCCAGAACCCCCCTTCTCTCCTCATACCTGGTCGAAAACGCCATAGTCAGAGACCAGCCCAGTCCTGGCCCGCACATTAATTTCCATGGTGTATCGCAGGTGGGGGATTAACAGCTGGAGGGAGAAAGCAGGGAAGGGCAAAGTCAGAAGGGAGCTGTGGAAATTGGGGTCAAAGAAAAGGTACCAAATCTTCAAGAAAAGCAGAGATGTCAAATTCAGTGGCCCCCTTCACATCAAGAGTGTTCAGCTGATGTGGAATTCACTCCACAAATCATTGACTTATTGCTCTATGATAACTGAAAGAAATCATTCTCCTTTTCTTTTCATATAAGACTGTTCAAGTTAGATGGCAGGGATTTCCAGTCAAGAGGGTAGAATAGATAAACACTGTGCTCACCTCCTCTCATGACCACATTAAAATTACAACTAAACTACAAAACAACCATCATTAAGAATTGCCGGGCCAGCCGAGTGGTGTGATGGTTAAGAACTGGCTTGGGATACCAGAGGGCCCCAGTTCGGATCCCACATATGAGGGCCAGTTACACTGCCCTCAAAAAAAAAAAAAAAAAAAAAAAGAATTGCCTGAAGTCTAGCTGAACAGAAGTCCTACAACTAAGGACATACAGAAAAAGCCACCTTGTGACTGGGAAGAGGGGCAGAGATGCGGAACAGGTTGGTCCCACACCCACATGTGGTGGTTAAAAGTCAAGAGGGCCATCCTGGCTGTGGAGGTCCCACTGGAGAAGCAAGAGGTTGGGTCCCAGCCCCACACCAGGTTCCCCAGCACAGGGTTTCAGTGCCAGGAAGAAACGTCCCCACAATTTCTGTCTTTGAAAACCAGCAGAGGCTCTGGCTGAGTGAAAAAGAGGGCTGCTGGAGTCCCAGGTGTTCCTCTTAAAGAGCCGTGCATGGACTCACTCGCTGACAGACTCACTCAATCTGAGCTCCAGTGCTGGGCAGCAGCTTGAAAGGTGCCATGGACCTAGAGGGAAGAACTGAAATGTCTGGCCTTTGGGTGAGGGCTGGAGGGACAGCTTTCTCCTAGACAGAATCCATTATTTCTTTGTTGAGCCCTCCCCACTCCCTGAATGCAGACACAAGCGGCCACCCTATCCAAGTCTTCATCAACATGGCGAAACACTGTTCATTCACCCCACTCTGGTGATTCCCGAGACCCCATTCAACTTTCAGGCACACCCAAGCCACTTTCAGGCACACCCAAGCCACTTTCAGTGGCTTTTTCATACAAATGGCCTGACTTAGCTCACGCTGAAGACCTTTCTAAAAATCTCCCAAACAAACAGCATCTGGCTTCAGTGTGTCCCATACTTCTGGCTGAGCAGCCCTAAGCCTGGCACTAGCAATGGCCAGACTCAGCTTGTGACTGGGCCCTCTCAAAACACCTCCAAGCCCAGCGCGGGTGTTGGCCATGTTTGGATTGCTATGTGGTTCATGCGAGGTGGCTTCCGGCAGGGCACAGGCTGTGGCTGAACTTGGCCTGAGGCAGGACACATCCCAGGAGGCCCCAGGGCTGGCACTCTTGGTGGCCAACTTTGGACTGAGCCTGAGCATCACCTGCCCACCTCCATGACAACCCACCCTAATGGCACACTGGGCAGGCACCAGAGCCCTGCTAAAGCGAATCCTGCTCTGTAGGGTCAGCCCCTGCAAAACAGTTCCTCCACTGTAGTCACAACCAGTCCTCACAACCAATCCATCTGAGTGTCAATCCTTCCCAGTGATGTGCAAACAGCAAACAAAGGCTCAACTACAAAAGGAGGGGACACACAACCCACACAAGGGACATACCTGGAGCACTCAGGTCAGGTGTCCAGGGAGACTATGCCACTGGGCCCCACAGGACACTTACTAAAGAAGGTCACTCTCCTAAGACTGGGAGGCATAGCAACCCTACCTAATACACAGAAACAAACACAGGGAGGCAGCCAAAAAAGGGGGGCGGGCGAGGAAACGTGTTCCAAATAGAAGAACAGAACATAGCTCCAGAAAAAGAACTAAACGAAATGGAGACAAGCGACCTACCATACGCAGTGTTCAAACCCTGCTTATAAGGATGCTCAAGGGTCTCAGAAAGAACTTCAACAAAGAGATAGGAAACATAAAAAAGAGCCAGTCAGGGGCCAGCCGTGTGGTTCAGTTGGTTAAGCGTTGGCTTAAGAGCATGAGCTCTGAGAAACAGGGCCACCGGTTCAATTCCCACATGGGCCAGTGATGCTGTGCCCAAGCTGAGCTGTCACTGAGCTGCCAACAGGTGGCAGGATAGCTCAGCTGGTGTAACAACAAGATTGCCTGTTCAGTGGTGGGCTATGCCCACCGGCAACTAAGACTGAGCTCGCCACCTTGAGCTGAGATGCCGCCCGGATGGTTCAGTGGATAGAGTGTGCGCTCTTAACAACAAGGCTGCTGGTTTGACTCCCGCATGGGATGGTGGCTATACCCACTCACAACTAAGATTGAACACAGCATCTTGAGCTTAGAGGCCACGAGCTGCCGATGGGAAGCCACATGCAACTGACGCCCTCCACAACGAAGATTGAAGAACAATAACTTGGCTGGTTCTCTTCCCCAATTCCCCAATAAAATCTTTTTAAAAAAGAAAAAAAGAAAAAGAAATAAAGAGCCAGTCAGAAATAAAGAACATAATAACTGAAATGAAGAATACATTAGGGGGAATTTGCAGTAGACTAGATGAAGCAGAGGATCAAATCAGTGATTTAGAACATAAAGTAGCAAAAAACACCCAAACAGAACAGCAAAAACAGAAAAGAATAAAAAAAAAAGGAGGGTAGTTTAAGGGACCTCTGGGACAACATCAAGCGTACTAACATTGGCATCATTGGAGTAACAGAAGGAGAAGAGAGAAAGCAAGGAATTGAACACCTATTTGAAGAAATAATGATGGAAAACGTCCCTAACCCGGTGAAGGAAATAGACATACAGGCCCAGGAAATGCAGCGAGTCCAAAACAAGATAAACCCAAAGAGGCCCACACCAAGACACATCATAATTAAAATGCCAAAGGTTAAAGACAAAGAGAGAAGCAGCAAGAAAAAACAGCTAGTTACCTGCAAGGGAGCTCCCATAAAACTGTTAGCTGATTTCTCAACAAAACCTGTGCAGGTCAGAAGGGACTGTCATGAAATATTCAAAGTAATGAAAAGCAAGGACGTTCAACCAAGATTACTCACCATAGCTATTATTCAGACTTGAAGGACAGATAAAGAGCTTCCCAGACAAGACAAAGCTAAAAGAGTGCATCACCTCCAAACCAGTATTACAAGGAATCTTAGAAGGACTTCTTTTGGACGAAAAAAATTTTTTTAATTAAAAAAGATGAATAATAAAATGGCAATAACTACATATATCAACCATTTCTTTCAATATAAATGGATTAAATGCTCATATCAAAAGATAGGGCAACTGAAAAGATAAGAAAACAAGACCTTTACATATGCTGCCTACAGCAGACTCACTTCAGATCGAAAGGCACACATAGACCGAAATTAAAGGGATGGAAAAAAGATATTTTATGAAAATGGAACCAAACAGACAAAAGCTCTGGGGTAGCAATATTTATACCAGACAAAAATATTTATCTGAAGAAACCTAAAATGCTACTTCAAGGGCACTTGTACATCCACATATTCATTGCAGCATTGTCAACAATGACTAAGACATGCAGGCAGCCTGGGTGTATGTTGGTGGATGAATGGATAAAAAAGAGGTGGTACATATGTATTGGGTTGTCAGAAAAGTCATGACACATTTTTGCAACAAAAAACATAGAAAAAAATACGTCATGACTTTTCCAACAACCCAATACAATGGAGTATTGCTCCACCATGAAAAGGAATGGTTTCTTGCCATCTTCAGTGGCATGGATGGGCCTGGAGGGTATTGTGCTGAGTGGCTTATGTCAGACACAGAAAAGCAGATGCAATGTGATTTTGCTTGTATATGGAATCTAAAAAAACAAAATAAACAAACAAACAAAACAGAAACAAACTCATAGATACAGAGAACATTTTGATGGCTGTCAGATGAAACGGGTGTTGGGCAGGGGGTAGGTGAAAAGCAGGAACGAATTAAGATGTACAGATTGGTAGTTACAAAATAGTCGTGGGACTGTAGAGTATGGCATGAGAAATATAGTCAATAATATTTTAATAACTATGTATGGTGTAGGATGCGTACCAGATTTGTTAGGGTGGTCACATCATAAGTTATATAAATGTCTAGTTACTTTGTTGTACACCTGACACTAATATAATACTGTATGTCAACTGTAATTTAAAAAAATGTTAATATTTTTTTAAAAGATTACATCATAGCAAATGCCACCAAGAAAAAAAAAAGACTGAGTTCTAGCTCACTGTTTCTCAACCTTTTTTCATTATCACTCTACTCTAAAGAGCCTTTTTTGATAGCTTTTCCTACTCTCACCCCCCATGAAATTTTAATGCTATAGGTGTACTATATTTGATATGTACTCTATGTATATATGTGCTTTATTATATATACATAGAGTTTTATGTATTTAAAATGTATTAAAATTATACATTTTTGCTGCCCAGGACCACTTTAACCTCCTTGGGAGGCATAATTGCCTCCACCGAGAATGTATGCTCTCACCAGCCTCTTTGGAACTTCTGATCCCTTTTGTCCATTACACTCACCTTCCTTCTGTTCTTCAAACATGCCAAGCTTGTGCCTGTCTCAGAACCTTTGCACTAGCTATTCCCTCTGCCTAGAACAATATGCCCCTGATCATCTCTTTGCTGGCTCCTCATAGTCTTGTTCTCTTTGTCATCTCCTCAAGGAAGCCTTTCCTGACCACCCAATCTAAACCCCCTATAACATCACCCTGCTTTGTTTCTCTGCGTTGTATTCATTGCAGCTGATACATTACAATACAATCTTTGTAGTTTGTTAGCCCCAAGTGGAAATGAAAGCCCCCGAAGATCAGGACCTGGCCTGTCTTGCTTAGCTCTGGCATCAAAATGCCTCTTGCCTCATAGGAGTCACCCAAGAAAAAAAGATAATGGGTGAAAACTCTGCTCTAACTGTCTGTAAAAATCCAGGCTACTGTTGCTGACCTGAGCACCTCTAGCTAGCCTATGTGTTACTATTCTAGAACCCTTCAAACTAGCTGGGAAAATCTATGTTATTTGCATGGTCCTCACCTTTTGGATGGAATCCTCAGTCATTTGTGTGTACTATTTATATACTGTATGTCCATCTATCTGTGCTTTATACATAAAAAGAGTAAGACTTCTCACCCACCCCCCACCCCTGACCCTCCCATCCCCCACCTTGCCAACTGATGGGAAGTGATGTTACCCTGTTGAAAATGCAGAGCAAGCACGCTCTCACTCCCTTACTCTCTTGTCTTTCATTGGTTGGCTCTCCCCACACCCTGTGATTCCACAGAGAGGGTGCCTCCAGAGGTGGAACTGCGCCATGGGGCAGAGAGAGGGGCAGGCAGGAGAGAAGGGGATAAGGTGTTACCTTAAAGATAGGATGTATTGATGGAAGGCACCTCATAGTGGCCACAGCGATGACCTCAGCCATCAAATGTCCCCTCAGAAGATGAGAATTCAGCTCATGAAGCTGGAAATCAGAGCTACGGACCCAGCATTTGGCCAGGAGCCAGGCCATCGGGGGATCCGTGGGCAAGAAAAGTGGTGGTGGGGGCGATCCTGTGCGTGGCAATTGGAGCTGGAGAAGGAATGAGTTTGGGGAAGGGGGGGGATGAGTGCCAGGTGCCCAGCAGATTCCCCCTCCCTTGCATATTTAGCCCCTCCCTTCTTCCCCAAATTTGCTTAGCTTTCTCCATCTGACTGCTGCTACTCCCCAACAGCCACTATTCCTTCCCCTCCTTTTCCTATCAGTGCTTTATCATTGTGCAAGCTGCTCTGCTCCCCCCACCCCCCAGGCTTTTGCAGAAACTGCTCTTCCACTGCCTGTTCAGCCTCCACTTCCCCTTTCAGTCCCCTCAGTGTGGACAAGATTCACACCCCCTGCTTCCTTTATCCCACACTCTTTTTCAGAAATTTCAGCTTCCCTCCAATTTCAAGAACACCCCTACGCAGCTAAGTCTCCAGTTCTCAGCTAGTCACTAGCTAGATGTAACAATTTGAATGTCTCGCCATTACCTCATAATTGCCCAGACAAAAGTCCACCTGACCATCTTTTCCTCTTTATTTGTCCTATTTCTGAAGATGCCTTGCGTCTTTCTTTCCTCTCTCCTTGAATCTAGGCCCGTTTAATTGTCCTCTGCAATCCCATTCATCTTTCCTCTGCACCCCTACAGCTTTCCCCCACACATGAGTCCATCACCCCCACCTTGGACAATTGCTGTAGCATATCACCCTAATCCCTGTATCTAGCATCTCCCTTCTCAAATCCATTCTAAACACAATGGCCCATGGAACGTGCCAACAGCATCTTTCACGACAGCCTTCACCAGCTTCCTGTGTTCATGGTCCTTGGTTGGGCATCAACAGCCCACCACCGTCTGACCCTTCTCACTTCACATCATTCCCCACCACTCCAGCTCAACTGTCCACTGGTAATCTCCTGACTCCTCACACTCAGCTCTCACCCAACCCATCTTCCCCTGGGGGCAGGTGTTGCCCCTTCCCCAAAGCTCATGCCCATCTCCCATGACACCTCCCAAACTGTCTCCATCCTCAGGTACGTCCCCAGTACTGGAGCTTATTTAGATTTGCCCAGTCAGTCTCTCCAGCTAGACTGCAACTTTCCACCTTTGCCCATTTCCTCCTTTAATGCCTCCCCTAGTGCTTTAGCACAAGGTCTTAGCACAGAGCAAATCCTCAGTGAATTGGGGTAAGGGGCTGAGCTGAGAGCCAACTACGGGCCAGCAGAAATCCTGAGTCTTCTCACCTGGATGACCATGGGCAAGAGTTTCCCATCAGGTTGCAGTTTCAGCATGACCAGAGGGGCAGCCAGGTGCTGCTGGCTACACAGTATGATGTTGGCCTTGATCCCATCCAGCAGGGAGAAGTCGGCTTCAAACAGTGTGCCTCCCTAGATGGGGGCAAAGGGCAAGGGCTGCCATCAGTACATGGCATCTTCTTCACACCCTGATCCCCCTCAAGGAAGAAGAAAAACAAGGAAACTAACTTGTCTCTGTCACCTACTTTATACCAGGTAGTGGATCACATGCTTTTTGCCTCATATAATTCTTACACGCACTTGAATTAGCCCGTTTTATAAAAGAGGAAACAGATGACCAGAGGGGATAGGTATCTTGCCTGAAGTCACACCGTTTATTAACAGCAGAGCCAGGATTCAAACCTAAGTCTGTCTCACCCTATGATCCATGAGTTTTCTCTCTCAGTTGATCCATGTTGACTCCTGATTAACAACCCCAGCCCTGACCTGATTCTCTGACTCCACACCCTCCCTAAATCCCTAGCACCAAGGCCCAGTTATTTCATTTTGGCTCAGTCTCTATGACGCATCTCACTCTTCCTCCACAGTATGCATTTCTCATTCGGGGAGAAAGGCCATGTGGTCACACGTCTCCAGAATCACTCAAGATTTCTCCTGTAGAATCCCTTCTTGCCATCCGTCAGCAAGCTGGGCCCACAGTGGACCCCACAGCAGCGCAAACGCTGACTCCACCCCCATTTCACTGTGTGGTCTCCTTTGGGCTGGTATGTCCATACCTGGAGTTCCTTCTCCAGCTGGGCCTGCAGACCCTCCATCCCTAGAGGGAACACTAGGCGGGCAGGAAGGTGACTGGAGCGCCTCAGCAATATGGGGTTGGCGCCGTTGAGAAACTGGTACCCAAATAAGGCATCCTCCTTCCAGGAGTCCCGCACCCGCTCTGGGGATGGCAGTTGTGGAGCATGCTGTGAGATCTGAGCTCCTGGTGGGAGCTTCTTCCAACTCCCACCAAACCATCCCCTCTTGACCCCAGCCTACCAGAGGGACCCAGACCTCAAATCTCCCAGCCCTGGTTCCCTAGATCGGGTGGGATCTGGGGGTAAGCGTCCTAGGAGAAGCAGTGGGGTGGGGGGACTGACCAGCCAGCTTGCTCTGGCCACACCAGAAAATCCTGTTGAAGTCATCGAAATCCTTCCAGCAAGTCAGAATATTTAAAGAGTCTTTAAAAGCTAGGTCGGCCAGCCTTCAGGGAAAGATAGGTGAGGAGTTTGAGAGTTATTCTCAGAATCACGCATTACAACCACATGCATCCTCCTTGGGCTAGTCCATCCCTTTGCAGTCCAAGGCAGCTCCTGGACCAAGACACCTCCCTTTCACCCATCCCCTTTGTTCTCACCCCTTGGCCAGCGAAGCCTCAAAGTCAATTCTCTTGTCCTCCAGGAATCTCTCATCTACGGGGAGGTCACATAAATTGGTTGCAGCCACATTCAGGATTAACCCATCCTTCCAGTTACCCCACCTGTGGCACAGAAATGAAAGCAGGCATTGGTAGTGGGAAGAGTCAGCACTCCCTGTGGGGTCCGGAGGAGTGTGTGTGTGTGTGTGTGTGTGTGTGTGTGTGTGTGTGTGTGTGCTGGGGGGGAGGGGGGACGGGAGGCTAACCGGTACAGCTTCCTTCTCTCTTCCAGCTCCTCTTCCCGGTGGTTCTTGAACAGGCCTTGAGGGTCGTCTACCACTGTGCGTCCTAGAAGTGGGACAGAGGTCATGGGGGGTTGAGGCTTCTCCTGAGAGTCTCTTGCCTGTCCCTGCCAAGGGTGCCTCTTCAGCTGGCCCTCCCGGGGTCGGGGGGCTGACCTTTCAGCGTCACGCCCCTCCCCAGCTTCCATGCCATTGCTGTGTGCCACCTCCAGCACCACCCCCCCTTCCACAAGACCCCTCCCTCAGGTTCCTGTCCCCACGCCCTGTCCCCTCTTCTCTCTGTCACCCCCAGCTTCTCTTGTGCCCCAGAGACCTCCTCACACCGCCACCCCGCGCTCACCAGTGCCCTCGGGTAGGCTCAGGACGCTGTCGCCCTCCACCCAGCGGTAACATGGGAACCTGAACTCCTCCCCACTGGCCCCGGGGCCCTGCACAGAGATCCAGTTGCAGAACCAGGCGTCATCATTCAAGAGGCGCCGTTTGAACACTTTCACGAACAGCAGCGGCCCCAGGTACTCAGGCACATCCTCCTTGAATTCCGTCTCCTGCAGGCGATAGAAGAGACTCAGCATTGATAGAGATCGCCGGAAGCGGGACTCAGACTGAGCCCGGCTCCCCCGGACTCCCTTTCGCTGGACCACTGGGAAAGTGGCACAAAAGGAGCCAGAAAGAGAAATGGGGCGCCCCAAGCAAGTGGCTTCGCGACCCATTACAGGTCAAGTTCTTCAGGCCGGGGTGAGGCAGAGGAGGGAAGACGCACTCCTTCCTGCCCTTTTCACCTCCTGTAGCCATTGATTGTGCCAAGCTCTGAACTGGGCACCGGCGCCGCGCCCGGGCGAGCGCACAGTTGCGCGGGGAGATGCACTGTTGATCAGGCAGTTATAGCCGTGAGACCCCGGTGCCCCTACCACCACCTCCAAGGCTGAGCTCGAAAGAGGACCCACTGGGCCTGGGAGGGGCAGGCTTCCCAGAGGACAGTCTGTCTAAGCAGAGACCTCTAGCAGAGACTTTTAGTCAGGGAGGAGGAGGAGGAGGAGGAAAACGTGAAGGAAATGCATGCCAGGGAGAGGAAGCGAGAGAGCAGAGGCTGAGCGAGGACGAGCAGTGGCGAGGAGCAGAGAGCGAGGTGTGTGTGGGAGATGAGCTGGGCCAGATCGTGAGGCTTCTCGAAGTTGAAGGACTTTGGATTTAGTCTTGAGAACAAGCCAAAGCCATTCAAATGTTTTAAGCCAGGAGGGAAGGTTTTAAGGGTGAGAAAGTATTTGAAAGAAGTCGCTCTAGCTGTAGAAGGGATTGGAAGGGCAGGAGAGGAACGGGCGAGACGGGAGAAAAGGATGAAGGTGATGTAGGTTCAAAGGGACCCTGGTGGTCTGGGGTGGGTGGAAATCTGGACACGGTGGGAGATAGCCAGGAGATACAACTGGCAGCACTGGATCCTTGGTTAGACAGAGTTGATGGGAGGGGGAGGCGCGAGTGACTTCTGGGGGAAGCAACAGGCGAGGCCTGAGAGGTGGAACAAGGGGTGGACCTCACTTGGGCATGTTCCTTTGAGGCGTCTGTGGGACAGACATCCGGATCTGGAGGTCTTGGGGAGAGACTGACGGGAATTTGGGGATGGGAATTGCGGAGGAAAAAAGTAACCGGAGCCAGGGGTGAGTGCCAGGTAGATGGTCATGCCCGAGGCGCAGCGGGTCGCGAGATTCAGTATTCTGGTCTGTTAGCTTCTTCCCCCCACACCTCCCCGCCTCCCCTCCCCATCCCGTCCCACCCCGGTAGTAAAGCCCGCAAGGTCAGATGTCTAGCAACAGCAGACAAGGTTTGAAATAGCAGCTTTTAAGAACAGAGGAAACAGGAGGCGCACGGCAGATCCAGGTTCCCTGAATTTCAAGAAGAAAGAGCTCTGTGAACGACCAGGAGCAGGAGCATCCTCTCCGTTCCAAGGAGGCCGGGCGACGGGAATATTTTTTGAGCGCTTTGCTGTGTGCCATGTATCGCCCTAAGCGCTCTGCCCAGCGATCTCAGGGCTGCGGCCACGTCTGTTTGCGCTGCGGGCGCGTCTCTTCTCCGGTATTTGACTGTCTTGGGGTCAGGGGCGCAGCACTACGCCCGGCTCCCGCCAGCTCACCTTGCCCCGCGCCGGCCACAGCCTCTTCTTGAGCGCGGCTTCGCCGTGCTGGCCAACCAGCCTCAGCTGCACCTGGTTGTTGGAGCCCGCGTAGCACGAGGACCCAGTGGACACACGGACACGGTAGACGCCCATCTTGCTCAAAGACGTTCCGTGCCTTCTGAGGGGGAAGAAGAGTGGACGCTCCAAATAACTGGTGCGAGGCCCCGCCCCTAGGAAGCCTTGCGGATTTTCGCGGGTGAGCGTGGGTGGCGAGTCTGTAGCTAGCTCCGCCTGGCGATGCGCTGGGGCCCCCAGTTCTGCACAGCACCGAGCTCAGCCCCAGCCGCAAAAGGCAGGGCCCTGGCGGAGGCGCCGGGTGCGGCCCATTATCTTGATGGGAGGAGGATAGAATGGGGAAGCAAATGAGGATTTGGGCAGAAAACATGCTTTAAGAAGGAATCCATGCCTAGCCCAGCAGGGAGTGGTGTGTGCGGCTGGGAAGCCCACTACATTTAAACAAATTCTCTTCCCTCTTCTCTCTCTCCCCCCCCTCTCTCTCATCTATCTCTTTTCTCACAAGTTGGTTCACTCCTGCCAAAGGTCATGCTTAAAACTGAAGGGGTGGACAAAGGGGTGCAGGCAAGGAAGCCTAGTCTGCAGCAGCATTTGAGGAAGGTGCATTTTGGCCACCGAATTAATTTGACCAATTTTTTTAAAGATTTTTATTTTATTTTATTTTTACTCTTTTAAATTGGGGAATTGGGGGATGGGAACAGCACTGGGAAATCGGGGGAAGGGGAACAGACAAGTTGCTGTCCTTTTGTTCTTCAGTCTAGTTGTGGAGGACTTTGCTTCACTGGCCCAAGTTGACACCATCATTGCGCTCTTCCTGGGTGAGGCAGATCAGTCACTGGCTTCTGGACAGCCCCTCACACTGGCTGCTGGCTACACACGGTAGCCCATGACAACCCACTGCAGCAGCAGGGGCTCCAGCCTAGGCCTTCCCTGGCGACTCATGGCGGCCCAGCTCCAGGTTGAGCTGTTGTTCAGCATCTCAGCTGTAGAGGGCAGTGTCACTGGCCCTCATATGTGGGATCCGAACCGGGGCCCTCAGGCGTCCCAAGCCAGCTCTTAACCAATGCGCCACTCAGCCAGCCCTAATTTGACCGGTTTTGAACACTTGTGTCCCTTCCCTGTGTCTGGGGCTCATTCCTTTTTCACTTAAAAGCCCCTGCTTCTCTGTTGCCTGCAGTATAAAAATCCAAACTTCTTGGCATTCAAAGCCCTTGCTAACCTGGCCTCCCTCCCACCTCATCCCAATGCACCCCATCCTCATCTCTTGCCTCTCCATTTGGGGCTTAGAGTCTTTGTTTCCCAGAACCCACCACGCTTTTTGCTTGCAGTCCTTGCTCCCAGAAAATTCTATTCAGCCTTCTGAACCCTGGTTAGATTCCAGTTTTTCTGAGAAATCTTCCCTTGCCGTTTCGCCCCTCCCCACTGCCATCACCAGAGCTAATCAGCTTTCCTCTATACTGCTTTTGCCCTGTGCATACTTCTATTATTGCCCACTTAATACTACAGTAATTTGTTTGTATGTCTATATCCCCCACCATGGTGAGCTCCTTCTAGGTAGGGACCACATTCCAGCACAACTTACTCACTTTTCTTTTGGCATTTTAAAAAATTTTATTTATTTTATTTATTATTAGTTTCAGGTGATGACTTACCTTTGTTTGGATTTAGCACAACATCAGGCTTGTCGGTGTCAACAAGTATTTATTGAAAACACTGAGCTGAAAGATCAATTATAAGTCCTCCATTGGAGGAGACAAAGACAAACAAATAACTCTCAGACGATGTAAATAATAAGAGAATAGTAAAACAAATTCTGGTGTCACCATGATATGGGCTACTATCAGCCTGGCAAAACAAATGAAATCAATGAAAAATGTCTGTAATGCATATTTTCCTGTGGTTTTTTTTGTTTGTTTGTTTGTTTTTCTGGTGGGAAGTACATGCACTTGATTCAAAATTCACAAGGTACAAAGTGGTATTCACTAGTGTCTTGGTCCCACTTAGCCCCAAGCCGCCCAGTTCCTCCACCCCCAGCTGTCACTGTTACCAGTCTCTTCTGAGCACAAGTAAGTACATGTCTATCTTTTTGTCCTTTTTAAACACATAGTAGTGAATTTTACATGCTGATCTGCACCTTGTGTTTTTTTCCCCATTGCAACATCAATCAGGAGATCATTCCATGTCATTACTTAAAGAGCTTTCTTTTCTTAAAGTTGCCACTGTTTTCATGTAGTATAATATACTCTACTACAATAGTTTCTTACAAGTGGACGTTTAGTTTTTTGAATCCTTTGTAAATGTAAAAAATTTTTTGCTGAAAATATTATCTGGCGCATACGTCATTTGTCATATATAAGTATATCTGTAGTACAAAATCCTAGAGGTGGAACTTCTGGGCCAAAAACATATGTAATTTTGGCAGAAATTGCTAAAGCACCCTCCATAGAAGTTGTACCAATTTACACTCCCATCAGTGAGTCCACTCTCATTCTCCCTCACTCTTACCAATCATGTGTTGATAAATATTTTTACCTTAGCCAGCCTGGTAAGTGAAAAAATGGTACCCTAGTGTACTTTTAATTGCATCTTTTTTATTATGAGTAAGGTTGAGCATCTTTTCCTATTGTAGAAGCCATTTGTATTTCCTTTTCTGTGAACTAGCTATTCCATTTTTCTATTGGATTTTGGTCTTTTTCTTATTGATGTGTAGGAACTATTTATATATTTTAAAATTAGTCCCTTTCCAGCTCTATCACAATGGAAAGGGTCCCAAAAGCAATGACAGTCCTTTTTTTACCTACACCAACTCCTTAGAGCGCAGATTTTGCTCTGTGGTGTTATTCTCCAATAAAAGAAATCTGGGCTCCTTAGTGGATAGCTGACTTCATGTCTTGGGGCAGGCAAAACAAAACTCAGGATAACCTGGAACATGCTATTGTTGCTAATAATAATAACAACAACAATAATAAATAATAAATAAATATATAAAAATAAAGATGCTCTCAGGCCGGCCAAGTGGTGCATTGATTGAGAGCTGGCTTGATGCCAGCTCTGAACAGCAGGGCCCCGGTTCGGATCTCAGATATGAGGGCCAGTGACACTGCCCTCTACAGCTAAGATGGTGAACAGCAAATGGACCTGGATCAGGGCTGCCATGAGTCACTGGCCACAGTGTAGGCTGCAGCCCCTGCTGCAGTGGGCTGCCACAAGCTATTGTGTGTGGCCAGCAGCTGGCATGAGCTGCCAAGAGCCGCAGTGAGCAGCCGTCCAGAAGCCGGCAACTGATCTGCCTCACCCGGGAAGAGCGCAATGATGGTGCCAACTTGGGCCAGTGAAGCAACGTCCTCCACAACTAGACTGAAGAACAAAACGACAGCAACTTGTCTGTTTCCCTACCCCAATTCCCCAATTAAAACATGAAAAATAAAAAATAAAGATGCTCTCGAGGAAGTCACAAGCAGTACTGATAGGGCAAGATGTCCAATTCAAGGGGGCTCCCGCTGGCTATGTTTTGACTTTTGAGGAGCAAAGACTAAATAATACACAGGGTTAATTGAAATAGATAAATGTATCAGTAAGAATGCCTTCTAACTGTGAGGAACCAAAAAAAATCAATTGGTTAATTAGTTGCAGTTAACCAAAAAATCCATTTAAAATGGCTCAAAAAATTGGGGAAAATTATCTCAGAAAAGAAGAAGCCCATAGGGTAGGTTGGCTCTAGGATTGTTATTGGGCTGTCGGAAAAGTCATGACATATTTTTTGTATGTTTGTCGTTGCAAAAATGCGTCATGACTTTTCCGACAACCCCAGTAGTTCAGTGGCTCAACAGCATCATCAGGAACCAGGCTTGCTTTTTATTCTCTCTATCTTTCTGTCCTTTATGAGTAAACTTCTCAATGAATTACCACCTTAGCAAAATGCCTGCTACCTCTCTAGTAATCCCATACAGACATAACAACATCCACTGGGAAAAGAAGGACCATTTCTTCCTGTGCCTCGCCTTTTAAGAACAAGGGAATATTTCCCAGAAACCTTCCGGCAGCTTGCCTTATCTTCTATCTGTGGCCAAACCTGGGCACCAAACCCAGATCCTTCAAACAGGCAAGGGAAATGAAATCATTATGATCATCTTAGACTAGTCAATATTTACCCGAGTTATATGACAAAGGATGGAGAAACAAACATAAGCAAAAAAGGATAACAGACTTGGAAGTAGGCAACCAAGCGTGTCTGCTACGATTACCTTGTGAAAGACCTAACTTCATAATAACATTAAAAAGAGAAAAGTTACTGTTAACTGTTACAAAAAAGTGTAATACAAAAGAGTGATTATGTTAGGATTTTTGAAGTTTTTATAGGTTTTATAAGAAAGAGGATGTTACTAAGTATGAGAATGTGTGTTTCTTCTAAGTACACATCTGTTTATAATGAACAGGTACGTACTCATTTCCACTGTTAAATGGAAAAGGATGAAAACATGTAACTGTGTGAGACAAATAATCTGAGAAAGAAAAGGAACTGTTCAAGAACAGGAAAGACTGATCAGCACATGTGGCTACACATTATAACCAATTAGAAAGGAGTTCCAACCAGTTAACCAGCACTAGTACCCACATTCCATGACCAAGGAGAAAGGGGGTCCTGAGATGCCGAATGAGCCAAATATCCTAAAGACGAGCACAAATATGCAAACACAATCCTTCTTTCCCAGGAGATGGATACACTAGATGTTCCCTTAATCATTTAACATTAATTAATAACACATGCACTCCGACGTGGCAAAATGCCCAGCCCTACAGAGACCGAGCAGTGCATCGAGTCTCTGGTGGCTGTTCTCCGGAATAATGCTGAAAAGGGCGGTAACAAGTGCAATCTCTCCAAGACTGAGTTCCTAAGCTTCATGAATACAGAACTGACTGCCTTCACAAAGAACCAGAAGAACCCCAAGTGTCCTTGACCTCATGATGAAGAAATTAGACATCAACTGTGAAGGGCAGCTAGGTTTCCAAGAATTTCTTAATCATATTGATGGCATGGTGGTAGCTTGCCATGACTCCTTTACCCGTTTCCAGAAGTATATCTGAGGAGTCTTTGAAACTGGCCTCCACACCACCGCTTTCCTTCCAGCCTCCCAATCACCATGATCTCCCCATAGACCACACATACCCTAAACCCAGTGCTCGGCCACCCCATGCAGGTGACTTTGCTGGTAGCAATAAAACATTCTCGT